AGGCTGGCAGAGGACTCGTGAAGCTTGTCCTCCCTGTCCTATCAGGAGCTTTTCCATTCTTGTGTGAAGACAAGCCTAGCCGCATAGTATTACAGACAGCTAAGTTAGGTGGAAACATGATAGGCAGGCAGACAGGGCTGGGCCCTTGGGGCAGTCAGTGCAGAGAAGAACCTGTTACAATTGGGGCAGGAGGTACATTTGCTGGAGGCCAGGTCTTAAGATAAAGAGAAAATGACCAGGTCTATGTACCTCCCCAGGGGATAGTATAATTGGTATCACCTAGTCCAATAAAGTGTAGATAGACTTCAGTCACCCGGGTGGGTGACCAGGACCCCTCTGATCCATCCTCTCCTAAAGGTTTTGTTCTTTCCATGTACACTTGCTACATGATCTGCTTCTCCACTGGTTCAATCTTACCTAATTGCTGTACTGATAATTTTATTGGTAGATCATAGTTTTGACCATGTTGTACCCACCTTGTGATTCTGCTCTGTAAGACTTCCTTTGAGAAGTGAGCTCATAGGCAACCCACTTTCAGGTCCCCTTCTGTCTCTCAGGAGCTATCTCTCTCTCTCTCAATAAAGATTTTTTACTCTCAACCTGTGTTTCTCCTTAAAATTCATTCTTCCATTTTGGGGAACATGAACATCTAGCACATTGGGAATTACATTTATTCCCCTATATCAGTAGCAGAAGAAAAAGATTAGGCTAGGCCCTTATCTTTAATAAGACTAGTGGGTCTCATTGTAAGGTGAACCCATGTATTGCACACAGGTGCGGCTAAGCTGGCCCAGTCCACAGAACCACTAGAAATAAATCTTCTCTGATAAGGGTGCAAAGAAAAGATTCTGAGAGGGGCCTCACTTGGTTGTTTTTTTAAAGTCAGCATTTATTAAGCACCAGTGTTGGAGGTACTTTATACACATATTTTTAGTATGCATAGTAATGCCTTACAACTTGAATATTGCTGTTATTCCAATTATAAATGAGGAAACCAAGTAAAGTACCTGGTGTTAATAGGCCTAATCCACAGTTACTAAATGGTAGAGCAGGGACTTAAACTTGTGCTACTGACTACAGGGTCTGCAAAGAATCTGAAGTGGGCCTGTGTGGTTGTGAGCATACAAAAGGTGACCAGGGCATTACAGGAAAGGGACCATTATCAGGAGGCAGGGTCATCTTCTCTCTGCTAACTATTCATTTATTCTCACTACTAACTATTCACTGACTCAACAGTTATTTATGAAGCACTTGTTGTGTGCAAATCACTGTTGTAAGAGCTGGGGAATAAGATAGAGAAAAACAGAGCCGCTTCATGGGGCTTGTCGGGCATGAATGTTCCTGTAGGGTATGAATGTTCTTGTTGGGTATGAATGACAATCAGCAAGATAAATTCCACTTCCTCATAATCATAAGGAAGTCTCAAAGGTGTCTTTAGGGGACAGCCCAGTGCAGAAGGAGGAGCAGGGGCTCTGAAGTCAGGATTCTTGGGTGTGAGTCCCAGCTCTGTCAGTTGGTCTCTAGGAAGCTGGGGTCACCCTGAGCCTCCCTGAGCTTCAGTTTCCCCAGCTGTAGAATGGGAATAACAATCCCTATCAACTAAGTTTCTCAGGACAAATTAAGGGTATAATCTGGTAAAAGCCACAGTACCAGGACACTATTCCTGGAAGTTATAATTATTGATACCATGGCTCTAAAGGCCATCTGAGTTTTCGCAGGCCATGATTCCATGAAAAAAAGCAGCACCGAGCAGAGACGATGAGGTCAGCTTGCAGGGAACTCATTTCCGGAGCTGTGCTCAGCCATCTGAGAGGCTTATCCTACTGCCACTTCAGACAGCTGATCTTCTCTTCTAATTTGCGCAAGTCATGCATGGAGCCCTTCTGCTCGCAGGGCCAGGGACACAGGTACACAGAGAGAGGCCCTGAGGAGTTCTGTGCAGCTGCAGGTTTAATCTCAATTAACAAAAGCCACCTGGGGCCCCGGCTGTGTTGGGAATCACTGGGGCAGACTTGTTTTCAGGCTGTGGGTTGCCAGGGCTTTGTTAACAGCCCTCAGGGAGGGACTGGAAGGAAGATTTTATTTATTCTTCCTGGATGCCAGCCCTGTCTGGCAGCCTTCACTTGATAACGTGGCCTATATCTGAACACTGTGTTCCTGAGCTGGGCCCGGTCTGTGAGGGCTGGCACGCTGGATGTTAATTGTGCGTGTTCTTCCTTTCTTTATACCCCTGCTCCTCACTGGTGAACTTCTTTCCTTGAAGCATGCAAGCCCCCAACACACAGGCCTCTGCATGGCTTCCTTTTGTGTCTATTCACAGCTCATATACTCGTGTGCTATTTCACTAAGGTTAGTCTCTCCCAGTCAGTGGTAACATACCGTGAAGCAGGACTCTATCCACTGCTGCTCACCACTATCTCCTTACATTATGGCTGTCTGTTAGATTGCCCAGGTTTAACAAATAATAGTAGCAGATACCCAGCTGAATTTGAAATGCAGATAAATAATGAATAGCCTTCAGTAAAAACATGTTTTGCGTGATACCCAGCACATAGGCTAAAGATATTTGGTTATTTTTACCTGAAATTCAAATATAACTGTGCATCCTGTATTTTGAAGGGAAATCCTAAATTACAACTTATTTTTGAGACCCGGTAGATATACTCACAAATGAAGAAATGGACAGGACTAAGGCATGATTAAAATCAGGAAACCATATGCAGACATTAAAGCACACACCCACGTGCAGGAGTCATTGCTTCAAGGCTGCATGATTCTTGAAGAATTTTCATTTTTCTATGAGCTATTTTCTTACTTTCAAATTGAGTAAAATGAGCAAAAAAGTTTTCAAATGTCATATATTTATGTGTGCATGTACACATACACACAGTGCACGTATTTCTTCACAGTATAAAGCCTGCTTAAAAAAGAATTTACGTTTCTCCACCAGCCTGAAACTGGAGTTTCCTAAACATATCCCCAGGGTCCCAAGGTTGGGGGCATTTTCAGCAAGGATGAAAAGATTATCCAAAGCAATATGGAAAGGACTATCAAGTATGTCTATAAAATAGAGCACACAAAGGAGGCAGGTGATAAAATCATATGGCTATTATTTTATGAATTATACAATGTTCCTTAAAGAAATCAGCTATAGGTTTTGGGGCTGTACAGGTAAATGGAAGTAAAGTCCAAGACATAAGTATTGGTTAAATTGTGTACAATATATTGGAGGATGCTTAATTTGCAGAATGAGGGTGGAAAACAAAACAAACAACAGAGGCAATAACAGAGAATGAATAGAAGACCCTTCTCATACAACTTCCTGTAATGCTTCGGAACATCCTTCAAATTTGTCTTTCCGACGTTCACACTAGCGCACTGGTGATGAATATGTTCAGAATTCTCTATCTTTATGGAGCAAGGAAGGAAAACAGGGTGTCCAATGTTTCACTGTGAGATTAAGTATGAGAAGTGTAAACAAGGAAAGAATGTACAAGTGTGTGTGTGTGTGTGTGTGTGTGTGTGTGTGTGTGATCAACATGCAAGGAAAACAGAATGTTGTCTGGTATGACACCAAAGTTGCAAATAAAACTTCGAAACTTTGCATCTTAAAGTCTCAAACACCTATGTCTTAAAAATACAGGAATAGAATGAATCAACTGTGGCCACATTGCAATGAGCAACAAACACAAAAGGGAAGAATGCTGTATCTATTCTCATGAAGACTTCTTGGCCTTAAAAAAAAAAGACAATTAATTGGCTGAACTTTTATAAAAGGAACTATGACTTTCAACAAAGGGAGGCTGTGATGGGACAGCACACTGGCATTGGGAGGGCGCGGGGACAGAGAAGGAAAGATGATCTGATGATTGCGAAGGGAGACAGAGCTGTATCCATTTTAACTTTATACATGGCAGTATTTTGAATAGGCTACTCTAAAATGCTGATTAAATACACTGAGGCTGAGCCAAAATTAGACTCGTACCGCGTCTGAATAGTTCATAAACTATAATAGATCTCTTTCCAAGTCACATAGAACCATCTTCTTTTCAACTGTGGCACACAGGCTTTGAGCGAATTGTTTATTAAGTAAGCTTTATTAATTAAAGATGGATCGAGGCAAGTCTTATGCACTGATTCCTCCAGAAGGATGCCCCTAAACACATAGTGATCTCAATTATTTCTCCATTAGCATTCTCTGGATAAAGACTTTTTTGCCTTTGCTGGTAAGAACTGCTTGGTATGCATATTTAAATAACACTCATACTGAATTAGCTTTAAGAACCGGCTCTTAGCATAATGGAAGCATTACAATGTAGAGCAAAATGAAGGAGAAACATAAAGACCTTGACACACAAGAAAAAAGATGGAGGTGACAGATGTTGTAAGCTTCTCTGCCATTTCCTAAGCCTGGGACAATAGTAATGGCTTTGAGAACAGGTCACAGTAGGCTGATGTCTGACATAAATTAGTTCCACTTCTGTTCAAATCTATTAGATTTGAGAAAAGGAGAAAAGGAGCATATATCACTCGGCAAGTCACAGGTAGACCTGTAGTTCCTTAAGTATGCTACAAAGAGATCAGTTTTATTGTCAGTTATTTCAGGGAGAAACTGCTTTGTACAAATTCTAAATGTCAACCTCGTATTAACCATTGCAGCAATACTTTGCATCCACAGTCCCTACCCCACAGCTTATGAGGAAAAAAAAGTATCTAATGAGTAACAAGGCACCTGACCTATTCCTTTTCAGCCCATTTAGTTACAGCATTTTGAAAACATAGGATAAGGGAACTGTGATGAATGAAGCAAGGTACATTGGCTTTTATCAGTAACCTGTTTTACTGGTCTCCAAAGAAATCAAGACGACCACAAGCCTTTGAGGATGACCCTGATGAGTATCTTGCAAAGGTACACCTGGAAATCAAGGTGCATTTTTGCCATGGTGCTTGGAGACACAGACAGGAGCAAAACTATTCAGAGGTCTGGTCAAATCACTCACCACAGATTCACCAGGAAAGGGTGCTCCAGGCCCTGCATGATCTGGAGCTCCTTGAAGACATTCCTCACTTCATTGCGCTCCACACACTTTTGTTTATTCATGTACTTCATGGCGTACATCTTCTTGGTATCATTCTTCTGTACGATGCAGACCTAATAACGCAACCCCAAGGAAAGAAGTGAGTAGGGTGAAGACAAATCATGGCTGTGAGACAACTAGGACTTGGTCTTTAGCAAGGCTTGGTTGCTTCATCATTTTCAAATTCACTGATACTAAAGTTCTCATTCAGGAGTAAAATTTTCATTTTCTTCCCCATGCACCAGGTCAATTCTTGAATCTCTGGTTTCTGAAACACGTTTGCCTGGTTTTGTTTCTGGGAATTTTTAAAAACAGCATTTAAAGCTGCATTCACATCAGGAATCCTTAAGTGGCAATCTCACTCCTACGTCAGCTGACAGCAATGGATACAACTAAACTATCAAGGTGAAAGACACTGGGCAGAGTTTCTGGTTACCAGCACTGGTGATGTGATGAAGCAGACTCCAAGCACCAGGGAGCACCAGATATGATGTCCATGTTTCTGACTTTCTGTTAGAAAGCCATATAATTCTTGATGAAGTTAAATGTAAATTTGCTATGAAATATGCTCTGTTAAGGTATACCTCCACTGAAACACTAATAATCAGAGACTGAATCTGGAAGTTTCTTACCAAAAATCTGGCTATGTATATTTTTCATGGTAAGGTTTTGAAAATACACCATAAAACCTGGGCAAAGGAAATTGAAATTGGAAGTCTTCTTTCCTGTGTGAAAAGAAGTATGCTTATACTGAAAAGATAGCCATCGTTGGATTTATAGGTGGCACCATTTGAAAATGATTCTGAAATCTCAGTCCCCTTTAGGGTAGACAGAAGTCTCAAACTTTAGTAAATAGGTTTGTCTTGAATAAGGTAAATAGGTTTGTCTTGAATAACAAAATTCTTATTCAAGAATTATTCTCGTCACCTTGTAAAGTAAATAGGTTTGTCTTGAATAAGGTAATTCTTAGAATAGTATATATTCATTATGTAGCTGCCCTTTTACTTTCCTCAAATTGTGGAGGCAATTTTATAAAAATCCTTTAAAAAACATCTCTGAATTATCAGTCCTTGTGGTCGCAGTAACTCAGTAATCTGAACATTCTCAAGCCTTCTGTTCTGGAGCCACAGCTGATCAACTGAGTACTCACCTTCCCAAAACTGCCTTTTCCAATGGCTCGCAAAATTTCAAAGTGGTCAAAGTTGACTGAAAGACAATAAAAATGAACATCATTATGAGTGATTATCAATCACTCTTTAGTAGCTAATCAATATAAAATCCCCAGGGCAATAAGGAAGGAGAGGAGGGATAAAAGGAGGGAGGAAAAGAATGAAGGAAGAAAGAAAAAAGAGAGAGTGAGAGAACATGAGTTTAGCTGGATTACTCTGTTTAAAACAATCAAAGTGACCCTTAAGTGCCAGTTTATCCATTCAATAAAGATTCATTGACCACTTCTGTGTTGATCAAAGTGCTAATGCTGAGGAGACAGTAGTAACAGTAACGTTGAGAATAAAAAAGAATATCTTTCTTAACCCTGGAGTCTAGCAAAGGCTTTATAAAGACAGAGACCTTCATAGATGACATAATCACAAAAATAAGTAGAAAATTCAAACTCCTGCTGAATGCTAAGAAGAATAGAGGTCTCATAGCCCTAAGAACATAGAACCGGTGATTTGCTGCAAGACAGCAAGCTCAGGAAAGCATCTCCAAACACAGCAATCATGGAGAGAGATCCAGGCCTAGCGGCATACGCCTTGACTTAAATGAGCACTTTAAAAATAACCTCTTCCTATTTTGTTTCCACAATCAACCTTCATATATGAATAATTCTGCTTTTCTTCAAGTAGGAAACTAGTATACTCATACATTTGCAGAAGCCAAGATGGCCTTGCATGTGGGCCGCGTTACATCTCCAGCTCCTAGCCATGCAAAGCTGCAGAAGTGTAGTCTGGAGTCTACGTGTTCTCGTGGATAGGGATCATGAAATGCACGGTGACCAGAAGAACAATTTTAGATTCTCCCTGGCAAGTGACCATCCTTGTTTGGTTCCGGGCCCTGATGGCCTTGAAAAGAATGTTTAATTTGGTTTCCACGTTTTGAAATAAGGATTAAATGGTTAAATACAAAATGAGGGATATTAAGAGTTTATTCAGAAAATATCTTGAAACACTTGAAGAAATGACTCATTTCATTAATAGACTTATTTTGTCTCTTTTAAAAAGAATGATTAGATTAATCCCCCCTTCAGAAAAGAGAAATGGTAAGGGGACCTCTGAGGTATTTCCTAGTTTTCCAAGGATCAAGTATTTTTATGACTTCATCATTTTCTCTTCTGATCCATCAAATCATCTTATTTCTAGCACAAACCCATGCAATCATGTAAGATGATATTTTAAAATAACCCTGGATTTGCACTCAGAATAACAATGTGACTTGAGATAACAGTCTCTGTATCTCTTTTTCCTCACCTGTAAAAATGGAACTGACTCTCCTACGTGAGAATACCTTTACCCAGAAAGTGCAATAAAATAGTTTATTGCTTAACATAGTTACTCAAGTGAATGACTGATCTTTGAATTTTTTAGTTCACTTCATCCAGGTTAACCTAAGTTCTATGAAGGCAGGGGTTGGACGTCATTTTGCTTACTATAGTTTCCCTGCAACCTTACAGTATTTAAGATTCAGGTAGGTGGAGGCAAAAATCTCTACAGTTCCCACGGAATCTAGCACAATAGGGTCTCAGCAAATAAATTAAACTACGCTATCAGAACACACGCAAGCTACTCAAATGATTGTTTCTGATAACTATGAGGCCTGTGAGATTTGGGTCCTCTAAGGCAACAGGTTTTGAATTGAGTCAGGACTCATTATTGGGTTTTTAAATAAATTTGTGGTCATAAGTTTTAAAACATACAACAGAAGTGGTGATACCAGAAAGGTCTTAAATGAGGTAAGATCAGTATTATCTCTGAAATTTTTGCTTTAGTTTTATACGTGTGTGTAGATATGCAACTATATTTCTTACATGGGTTGTGGTAAGATTTACAAAATACTTCCATACATTTTCTCCAGGGATTCATATTGAAATAACCAATGCAATGGCTTCTTTACACCCATTATATGAGTCTGAATTATGTGTTATTTATCATAACAGTATTTTAAAAAACTGATCAGGATTTATTTGCAAGTCCAAGATTTGATCTTGACCAAATCAATAACGCACTGTGATTTTTCCACTAGCAGTCTAGTCTAGAATGATGAATTTTGAATTCCCAAGTATACACCAAGTACCTAGAAAGCATGAAGTTTCATTGTGATATTAATCCATTTCTTGTGCCATGCTCTTTTTTAACCACTTTAAACTTAATTGAAAATGACAAAGGCACTTATATCAAGTTCCTGGTAAATGTAGACTATCAAAACTGCCTAAAGTAATGTGTTCCTCCCAAATGTCAGATCTCAGAAAAGTGACAGATCTGAAGTTTTAGAGTTATTCATCTTATTTAGTGTCCTTAAATACATAGGTAGTCAGTTGAAGAAAGAAACAACCCTAGTCCAAATCCACATCTACAGTCATTTCCACATGTAACAAAAACCTTGAGAGGAAGTGAGTGAGAGGCAGTAAGAGATAAAGTGACTGAGGAAGTTCTTAGTCAGTCTGTACAGCCCTCTTTTAAATGTGCAAGAACAGAATCACTAGTTAGAAAAGAGAGAGACAGAGAGATGCAGATACAGATATGAATTTAGAATTGTAGATTATTTTTTCAGCAGAAACCTCTCAATATTATAGGGATATAAGAACTGTCTAAAAGCAAACCTTTCTGATTCTGGACTCAGCTCTTAACCACTACTTTTATTTCTGAAGTAGTCTCAGTGTCATTCTTATGGTAAACCTACTTAACCCAGCAGTAGAATCAGGAGAAGTACAAGGAACTTCTTCCTCTTTTCTTTTGGAATTGTAAGAACCAAATCAAGTTGTTCCAAGATTTGTCTCAGAAAAACATAGTGCTTCTGAGATGCAGTGCTGGTGCTGATTTCCTTTCTTTGACTTCTCTTACCATTCCCCAGCCTTAGTATTTTCTGTAATGAACAGTGGTGAAGGAAGGAAAGGAGGAAGCCCTTTTAGAATTTGGAATAATACCTTGCCAGTTGGAAATTGGGAGAAATACCCTCTAGAAGATAAAGAAAAAATCTATTTTTTTTAAATTTTTGATGTAAAATATTTTATTTTTTTAGGAAACTTGACTTAAACTTTAATAAGTACCAAATCATAAGTGTATATGCATCTACTGAGAACAGTACACGCTGCTGTTTATGTATATATTTCTAGGGACAATGGAACAGGACAGCAGCTGTGTGACCCCTTAACCTTTCCAAACCACAATATCCCATCTATAAGATGATGCTAATTAAATTTAGCTTGCATGTGGCTTCCAATATGAAACAAGGTAAGCCAGAAGTACAATATCTGGCCCACTGAAAACTAACACTTACAAATCATTTTTAAAAGACAGTTATTCAGTGAAAACTGGGCCACCTTTCCATTTCAAATTTTCAGTTTCATTCCCACTAAGCAACCACTGTTATAAATTCCTGTGTATCCTTTAAGAGATTTTTTTTTTTTTTTTTTCCGGTACCGGGAACCGAACTCACGACCTTGTGCTTGCCAGGCAGGTGCTTTTGCCGCTGAGCTAAATCCCCAGCCCCTCCTTTAAGAGATTTTTCTCTGTGTATGTGTTTTTCTTTTCAACAGTAAGAGAAACACACTGAGATAGGTTTTTAAGAAAAAACCACAATAGTTGGTAAGAAAGAGACAAGGAAATCATGATTTAAAATTTTTTTAAAAAATTACAACTTCAGGACAAGCCTTTTTCCTTTCAGGAAACCCACTCAACACAAGAAAATTTGTAAAGGTCCTCTTGCAACATTCTCCAAATTCTGGCACTAGACCTATTCTCTTCACCTAGAAATTGCCTTTCCTCAAGCCTAGGAAAGAGCTGCATATGTCTGAAGCATATCTCAACTTCAGACAACACATCTTGACTTGAAATGCATGGAGATGGCTTACAATGTGATCTCATAGTAGGATTGCACATTCTGAATCACCGACCCAGAAGGCCTAAATGTGCCCTACTCCCATGTGTAACATGATTTCATTTCTCTGAGTGACTCCACTCTAGAATGGAGCGTGTCAAATAAACCCTTTTCATGTCTCTTTTTTACGGGTGTATCCTGAAACTTCTTTTCTGTGACAAGAGTCAGCAGACCTGCAAACTAATCTTAAAAGGGTGGAACAGGTTCTCTATTTCAGCCTCAGAGACCTCACAGACCCAACCTGGTGACTATACTATCACTCCTGCAGGAGAACAGATTGCTAAGTCCTTTCTATGTAACTCTACAGTCTTTCTTTTCATTTCATTACATACAGTCTACATATAGTCTAATTATTTTAATATTGTACCTCTTTGTCTTCTACTGTGTCAGTATGAGACACACACACACACACACACACACACACACACACACACACTCATCCCCCAAAAAAATTTGTTAATGAGCTTTGAAAACTGGTTTAATTACCTGCTATTGCTAACAATCCTACCTCAGATGTCCCTGATGGGCTTTTCGTACACATTGGCAGGCTACTTTTATAGAAGTTGAATTGCTGCCTAAACTACATTTACAAAACTTTTCGAGTGCAATACACATTGTAGGGGGCCTCCAAAGATGTTGCACCCAACCTCCTTTACATCGACGATGTGTGAGAACGATTTTTGTGCCCAGCACTTTGCCAGCACTATCCCATCAACCATCGGGGATCTGAGATGTGAAAAAGATTGAATAATTGATTTTTAGCATGACTTTAATGAATGAAGTGGCACATACCTATTTTTTTATTTTGAAAAATAAAAGAAGGGAAACATATTAACAGACAGACATCCATTTACAAAATAGCATAAGAACAACACAAACAAAAGAGTTACAGACAAAGTTGTAGGAAATTAGCCATGGTTGTTGTATTACTTATTGATATCTTGAAAGTGGCTTCTCAGGAAAACAAATTAAGACTAACGTCATGTCTCAAACAAGTAATCATTAACTGTTGCTTTCTGTAGAGCAATAGAAGACAGTAGTACAACTATGTTAGCTATGCTGTATACACATACTTACGTAATTTCCACTTCTTTTGCTTCTCTTTTCCCACA